ATATGGATTACTTGCAGAACTTACGTGAAGCTATTGCTATCTACCGCAATAGTATTTTGCGCCAACCTGATGAGATGAAGAGAGAGGCTGCACTTTCGTTTTTTGTGGAGTACCTAGAAAGATATTACTTCCTTATATGTTTTGCTGTATATCTCCATACACAACGAGATGCACTATTTTCTAGGTCCTCTGCTCAGTGCAGCTTTAGCGATTGGATGAAAGCAAGACCAGAGTTGTATAGTATAATCCGTCGGTGAGGATAAAATTTTCTGCTATTGTTCAAAGTGCTTGCCTTACAATATTTTATCTTGCTGCTTTTATCATCGTTATTCTTATTATTGTTTTTACTCCATCTTTTCTGATGCATAAACATAACTGCTACAACTGACTCTTTCAGGTGGTATCAGACATCATTATTTTGTGTCAGTATTTTGTCACTGATTCATGTGCATATGTCTGTTGTTGGACCTGAGGAACTTTTGTAATCTTACATAATTTCAATTTAATCTGATGTTTATCTGAGAAATTAAAGAGATACCTACAGAACGAGAACATAATTTGGCCCAAAAATTGACTTTATACTACACTGGTTTTCAGTTCAATTGTTGAATTGCACTTCCCAGGCAATTTACTTGTTCATTAAGTACTTATGTATTCTGAACTTTCAAATTATGTGGAGAAAATTAGCATTTATATCTTGCAAGAAAGTCTATGCAATCACTAAATTTGTTCAACTGTTCCTGTCTTAGTTCCCTTTTAAGTTATTCGGCTTGGGGGTTGGTATTTGGAGAGAGCAGGCAGAAACATCTTTATGAACTTGTGGATCTGAACTTTGAGAAGCCTCTCAAGATTACTGAGTCATCTCCACTATGCCATACATTAATCGAGTTACTTTCCAACCTAGATGTGTAGCCATGCTGGTGGTTTGATTTGCTTAAATTTTTCTAATGTAATGAAGGCATTCCTTATAACATCTCATCTGTGTGGATGAGGCTTTGTATCGAACAAGATACTACCACATATGTTAGTAAAAGTTTCTTGACCTTGGACACTGTGTTAATAGAACTTTGTGATCTCTAATATTGAAGGACCATCTTGTGATATAGCACACTTGTATGGGCTCCAGAGGGATGCTGCTTTACTGGAAAAGCCCAAAGGAATCTTGCATTATTGGAAACTTATTTGCTAGATTTGGCTGCAGGTTGCTAAGGAGAGACCCTATGGGAGCACTTGGCTACGTGAGTCTGAAACCTTCTCTTGCTAAATTGGTTGACACTGCTGATAGTCGCCCTTGTGAGATGGGGCAAGTTGCTGCTTTGAGGAACGGAGAGGTTCTTGGACCTCAAACTGTTCTTAAAAGTGACCACTGTCCTGGCTGTCAACATCCTGGCTTGCCAGAAATATTAGAAGGTGCTCCTAACTTTAGAGAAATTCCAGGATTTCCTGTCTATGGTGTTGCGAATCCCACCGTCAGTGGGATTCGATCTGTAATTCAAAGGATTGGTAGCTCCAAAGGTGGACATCCAGTTTTCTGGCACAATATGAGAGAAGAACCTGTTATCTACATCAACGGAAAACCATTTGTACTCCGTGAGGTTGAAAGGCCGTATAAAAATATGCTTGAATACACGGTATGAATGCAATTTCATGAAAATTTAATATAACTAACTTCTGTCAGACCTTATTGCTGCCGATGATACATACACTCTTCATTTTGCATTAACATACCTTTGTCAAACATGTGTGACATTGTATGATATCATTAACGGATCCTTTAAATGGGTACTACATGATATAGTAACGTTATATGGATCCTTTAAAAAACATAAAAACCAACCAAAAGTTGAATTTACCTGTGTTAGATCCATACTTGTCTCAGATACTCATACTTGGTGCTCGTTTCCGAAACTCTTACTTCGGTCCTTATAATATAAATTGCTGTTTGGTGCACTTATTGAAGCTTTATGCCAAAATTTGAGACTTATTTTGTGCTGCCAGAAGCCATTCTATTTCCTATTGGTTTTTTCTGTTTGGAAGAATTCTTTTTTCAACCTCTGTTTGGATGAATGCAATTTCTTCTTTCTTTCTTTTTTCATTTTTGCTTTTCATATCAAAATAAAGAAAGGTAGATCATGGAACTTTTGTTTGATTATAACTTTTGTTTTACTACCTTTAAAAGTTCTTGCAATTTCTTCTGTTGCATGTATTAATTTTAGAAGATATTCTTAATTCCAATGAGATCTCAATATAGAACATAGTGCAAATATCTTTGCTTTAAGTCCTTTTTTGAACCTTTGGCTGATACATATTTTATCAAACACAGCAATTTAGTAAGTACTTCCTTGTACTGAACAATCAGATTGCATAAATTGGAATTTGTTCCAAGCTAATTTTGATAGATTTCAAATGGTACAGTTAGTTCTGTTTTCCAATTACCCTTCTGTTGCTGTAACTATTTTATCTTTCACTTGGAATTGTTAAATTTCCTGATCTCGAGCTTAAAAGCCTTATTTTGTTTACTTCAGTATACAATATTTGCATTTCTAATGCAAGGTTGCTTTTTGTATTACAATATTTTAGTTGAAAATACAAGATGCTTCCTTCTTTTAAATGGGTTTGCTTTGGAGTCTTGACTCCTCTATTCCTTTATATTTCGAGAAATGATAACTAAACTGACTAATTACAAGTATGTGGATCTAAGGGGATCGATCGTGAAAGAGTGGAAAAAATGGAAGCTCGATTAAAGGATGACATTATGCGAGAAGCTGACCGTTATCAAGGTGCAATAATGGTTATTCACGAAACTGATGATGGTCAAATATTTGATGCTTGGGAACATGTGAGCTCTGATGCAGTTCAAACTCCTGTGGAGGTCTTTAAGTGCTTGGAAGCTGATGGTTTTCCTATAAAGTATGCCCGTGTTCCAATCACTGATGGCAAAGCTCCCAAAAGTTCTGACTTCGATTTATTGACTTTTAATATAGCATCTGCTTCCAAAGATACTGCTTTTGTCTTTAATTGCCAGGTAACCTAGTATGAATTCTTCTTCTTCGATTTACTTGTATTTTCTGTGGCCTTTGGCTCCCAACGGAAGATGCTGTTTACTTATTTCTGTAATTACAGATGGGCATAGGGAGGACTACTACTGGAACTGTAATTGCATGCCTTTTGAAATCACGTATTGATCATGGGAGACCCATTAGAGTATTAAATGATGCATCAAATCCAGATGTAGGTGGTGATATGTCAAGTGGTGATGAAAGTGAAGGCGAAAACCATCCACCTGCACTATTAGTATCAAAAAATAGACCTCAAATAGATTCAAGTGACACATTTGGGATAAATGACATCCTGCTGCTCTGGAAAATAACAAGATTGTTTGATAATGGGGTGGAATGCCGAGAGGCCTTAGATGCTATTATTGATCGATGTTCAGCTCTGCAGAACATACGCCAAGCGGTCTTGCAATACAGAAAGTTGTGTAATCAGCAGCATATTGAGCCTAGAGAAAGAAGAGTAGCACTAAATCGTGGTGCTGAGTACTTGGAACGATATTTTCGTTTGATCGCGTTTGCTGCATATCTTGGCAGCGAAGCGTTTGATGGATTTTGTGGACAAGGAGAATCAAGGATGACTTTCAAAGATTGGCTGCACCAGAGGCCAGAGGTTCAAGCAATGAAGTGGTCAATTAGATTAAGGCCTGGGAGATTCTTTACCATCCCTGTAATGCCTCTGACATCTGTCTGTCTCTGTTGCGGATTCTTTTTTAAGCTCGATTTGACTCTGTTATAATTGTAAGTGCAGGAGGAACTAAGAGCTCCACAAGAGTCACAACATGGGGATGCTGTTATGGAAGCTATTGTGAAAGATCGGAATGGCTCTGTTCTTGGGAAAGGGTCTATCCTCAAGATGTACTTCTTTCCTGGCCAAAGAACTTCCAGTCACATACAAATTCATGGTGCTCCTCATGTTTACAAGGTATGTTAAATTTCCATTATTATCATGATGCTAAGAGAAGCTGAATTTTGATTTCACATGCCTAATGGGAGATATTTTAACTAGCGTTAGGGTTTCCAAGATAGATGTATGTGCACCTTTCGCACCACATGCCTTTGTGATAGAGATAGGTCATGTTTTTGTTATTCTTTCACAATCTTCAACACATAAATTTGAACCCAAGTGACAAACATCATATGGCCAAGAACTATTTTCAGCTAGATAGAGAAATTAGGATTTATCTTTTTGATGAAGTAAGGGGAATTACAAAATAGAGGAATTAGGATATATTTCGCACTAAAGCTTTTCAGCTTTTGATCATGTCTGAGAAATAAGAGGAGACATTGGAAGAGTGATTTGAGACAGATCTAGCATACACGAAATACATCGAGTATGATGTTACATCTGTACATTTGTTACTAAGTTTTAACTATTTAACATATTTTTGTGGTTGCCTATATAGGGTAGGGTGAGACCATTACATAAATAGAATTGAGAAATTAGGATCAAATGCAAAAATGTGAGTATGGATGCTCCGATGAAGTGCAAATACATACAGGAGATTGGAGAGAAGAATTAATATACCCATAAAAAAATGCACACACACAAAAGAAACCAAAAAGAAAAGAAAAAGAGAGAGAAGATAGTTCATGATTATGCCCGGTTTTGTTATAGAAGATTGTTATCTTTTCCCAACTGGGATCATAGAATGTTAGGAAACGAAAGCAATAAGCAATAAGTAAATTACCAAGAGAAAGTTACTCTTAATGGCTACCCAAGGTTTTTCTCTTTCCTACTTCTTGGGATCGTAGAACTACTTTTCTCCGGTGTTTCATCTCATCGGAATCCTTTCATCTGTCCCTGAAGCTCAGTTTTCACCCACTGTGATCTCTGTTTAGAACTTTTTTCCGTTTTTTTAGTTAAGATCTTTTTTGAAAAACTTTCTCCGACTCATGCTTTTCTATCCGGCGACTACGGCAGCGGAGGGACTGTGTTTTATACCAATCATTTACGTGATTGCTTAAAAACTTGGTTTACGCAGCTTCATTATGGAGAATAGAATATACTTTACAGCGGGGGGTAAATCTTATGATATAACTGAAAAGCATATGGATGGAGAATCGTGGTTTGAATGGGTTGAGCGCACGAGAAACCTGATGAGAAGAATGACTTTTAGCAGGAAAATTCTTTTGTGGTTATGTGATTTATTGCATAAAGCTTCTGAAAGAAGGAGAAATGTCTCTAATAGGTGGAGGACCAGGGATCATTTATTCAACTTTTATTGCTCACAGAAACACAACAGTTACGGGAGATTTATTAGTATTGTTTTTGTACGTGGGGAAAGCAGAGCAGTTATTATTATACCTAAAATTGAATTAAATGCAGGGTGGGGAGAGATAGCCTCTAAAATAGAAAGGTTCATTCACAGAAACTTTCGCTTTACAAGAGCAACAGAGGTTCCAAAATTACATAATGATTTTGCTCATACTCTACGCTCAACCAAATGGTCAGAATCAAATGGCAACATCAGAGTTATTCAACCAGAAAGCAACCCTATCAAAATCGCTACTTCAATGCCAACCGACAAAAGTCTTTTGAATAGGTGCATCGTCGGCAAGTTCTCGAAATAACTAGATTTAATTCCCTCACGCACAGTGGTTCGAAGATGGGTAAACAACAAATGGAGTAATGCTGTTGGAGTCTATGAGCTGAATGGACTACAATTTCTTTTCGAATTCCCAACCAGAAGGATGGCGGAGCAGACTATGGAGGAAACCTGGAGATGGAAGAATGCTACTTTATTGCTGAGCTGGTGGTCCCCGACAGCAGCTTGTTATCCTTTTGAAACAAAATTCAACTGGATCTGGGTGAGGATTCTCGGACTCCCATTACATCTATGGTCATCAGAAATCATGAAAGCTATCGGAGAAAAATGTGGTGGCTGTATTGAGACGGAGGAAGAGACGCAGCTGCGAAATCACATGAGGTGGGCTCGTATCAAAGTTAAGGGACCGGCTGAAAAGATCCCTAGAGTTGTAGAAGTAAAAGAAGGAGGAATGCTTTTTTCCTTGCCATTGTGGAGTGAAATTCCGACGACCGTGAAAGTTTTCCAAGAAGATGCAGTAGTGGAAGTACGACCTAAGTTCTGTGATGATAAAGTTACAGGCCCTACTTTCATAAAAGAGAGATCTAGGCACGTGGGCTCAGTAACAGGGCCCTTTAATTCAAAAGTTGACAGATGTATCCCATGTGCCCTTGAGCGGGGGAATTGTTCTAATGAGATTAGGGTAAATACTAAAGTGGGCCGAACTCAGGAGAAGCCCAAGACTTTACAAAAAATAAAAGATCCAGATTCCAGAAAATTGGCTGATGAAAAAAGCCCAAGTTCTATTATGGATAGCTGTGGGGCCAATCTAGCAAGACCTAAAACTTATGTATCTCAAAATTTTGGGCCCGATGTTATAAGTGAGGAACTGAATAGGGATTCTAATTTACCCCAACAAATGGAGCGACCCGACCTTCTATTCCTAGAGAAAGAAGCGTGTAAACATAGGGAGGTGTATCTGATAGAGCAAATTGAAAAATCAGCGGCTGCTCGACTGTTTTTATCTCAATTAGAAGATGATGGAAGTCACACAGATCATGACATGCAAGGAGGGGAAATTGAGGGGGAGGATCAGATACTCGAAAATCTGAATCAACAACAGTTAATTGAATATAGAGATGCAGATGCATCGGAGATAGAAGATGTTGACCCAATTCAAGTTCAATTCCAAGAAGCTGAAATGGAGGCAACTTTATGGGTACATAGGAATATATTGAGACTAAGCAAGGAATATGGGGTGTGTTCAAAGGCCGTGAAGGGGAGGCTTTATCTCTTTTTATGAAACTAGATGTCAAAAGGAAGGAGGAGATGACAGAAACTCCTACTGCCAACTGTGGTACTTCAAAACAAAAGGGGGCAAAAGAAGTGGAAACACTGGTTTTCAATCTGACGTAAAAAGATGAGGGGAAAAGAGCAAGGGGGAGGTCAATTTCCAGAAGTGAACCATGAAGATAAAAATTATCTCGTGGAATGTTTGGGGATTGAATAGAAGGGAAAAGAGAAGGTTAGTGAACAGTTTGATACAAAGGTGGAAAGCAGACATTTATTGCTTTCAAGAAACTAAGTTGCAAATATGGACCAATAGAAGGGTAGAGTTTGGTTGCTTGCAATCAAATGGGAGAAGTGTGGTAATTCTTATTTTGTGGGATAATAGGTCATGGAGAGGAGAGGTGATCACCACTGGAATATCCACAATTACTTGTAGATTCAGCCCAATGACAGAGTTCTCATGGCACCTCACAGGGGTATATGCACCTTGCAACAGGGTGGAAAGACAACTTATGTGGATGGAAATTGCAGATACTAGGGGACTTTTTGATGGTCCCTGGGTAATATGCGGGGATTTTAACACAACTAGATTTGTAAATGAGAGGAGAAATTGTAGGAGAATGACAAGATCCATGATAGAGTTCTCTGATTTCATTAATGACATGGAAGTAGTGGATCCTCCTCTTATCGAAGGAAGTTTTACTTGGGCAAAGAGTGACAATCAGCAAGCTTTTTCAAGGATAGACATGTTTCTATTCTCTACGGAATGGAATGATGAATTCAGGAATATTTCCCAAACACTAATACCTAGAGTCTCTTCTGACCATGCTCCCTTACTGTTAGAATGTGGAGATTGGGAGAATCTTAAGTCTTATTTCAAGTTCGAGAATTGGTGGCTCGGGGTGGCAGGTTTTAGTGACATGGTGAAAACGTGGTGGCTTTCTTTTGAGGTACAGGGTAGACCTGATTATATTCTGGCCTGCAAATTGAGGATGCTGAAAGGAAAACTAAAAGAGTGGAATGGTACAAATCATGGCAACTTTGAAGTAAGGAAAACTCAACTTCTAAGTTCCATGGCAGAAATGGATGTTGTACAGGAAACTAGAAATCTATCTGAAGATGAGCTTTTGCAGAAGGCCAGCATGTTCATGGAGCTGGAAGATATAGCAAAAAATGAGGAGATAGCTTGGAGATAGAGGTCTAGAGTTCTTTGGCTCAAGCAAGGGGATAAGAACACAAATTTTTTTCATAGAATGGCAAATGCACACAGGAGAAACAACACAATTGATAAGCTAGAAGTTAATGGTGTGACAGTGGAGAATCCAGAGACTATAAAAGGGGAAATTCTATCCTTCTACCAAAAACTTTACACTGAAACAGAGGAATGGAGACCAGAGTTTGTTTTGGCTGATTGTCCTTGTATAAGTGAGAGTGAGAAGCAGTGGTTACAAAGATCATTTGAAGAGGATGAAGTTTGCGCAGGGGTAAAATTATGTGCTTCGGACAAAGCACCTGGGCCAGACGGATATACTATGGGATTTTTTCATTCTTGCTGGGATATTGTAAAGGAAGATGTTATGCAAACCTTGAGAAATTTTCATACACAGGAGTTTTTTGAGAAGAGCTTTAATGTATCATATATAGCCCTTATACCAAAGAAGACTGGAGCTCGAGAGTTAAGAGATTTTAGGCCTATTAGCTTAATTGGGTCTGTGTACAAAATTATTTCTAAGATTTTAACCGAGAGATTGAAAACAGTGATCTCCAAGCTAGTAGATAGGCATCAGATGGCTTTCATAAAGGGGAGACAGATAATGAATGCAGCACTAGTGGCTAATGAATGTGTTGATTCAAGGCTAAAGATGAAGACACCTGGAATTCTTTGCAAACTTGATATTGAGAAAGCATATGATCATGTGAGCTGGGTTTTTCTTCTTAAAATGCTGAAATCTATGGGTTTTGGAAGAAAGTGGATTAAATAGATGCTCTTCTGCATAAGCTCAGTCCAGTTCTCTGTTCTCATCAATGGTTCCCCAGAAGGTTTTTTTCCTTCACATAGAGGTTTGAGACAGGATGACCCTCTTTCCCCCTTTTTGTTCCTAATAGCAATGGAAGGTCTAAATAACATGATAAAGGTAGCAAATAACAATAGGTGGATGACTGGTTTTAAGGTGGCAAGTAGTGTAGGTGGAATGGAGGTAACTCATCTACTATATGCAGATGATACTTTGTGATGCAAAAGAAGAAGAGCTAAGACATCTCAGGATAATTCTAACAATTTTTGAGGCAGTCTTTGGTCTACATGTCAATTGGAGGAAAAGCCTTATGAGGTAACTGATATACAAAGGCTGACAGACGTTCTTGGATGCACAGTTGGAACTCTTCCTACAACCTACTTAGGTATGCCATTGGGTTCTAAAAACAAGTCGTTAGACATTTGGAGTGGGGTGTTAGAAAGATGTGAGAAAAGATTGGCTAAGTGGAAAAGCCAGTACATATCCCTGGGGGACAGAGTAACATTGGTTAACAGTGTCTTAGATGCACTTCCCACATACATGATGTCCCTTTTTCCTATTCCTACAAAAATAGAGAAAAGGATTAATGTTATGAGAAGGAATTTCATCTGGCAAGGAAATAAAGAGAAGGGAGGTTACCACTTGGTTAACTGGAAGGTTTTGACACAAGGCAAAAAATCTGGGGGCTTAGGCATAAGAAATTTGAGACTACATAATAAAAGCCTACTCCTGAAATGGCTTTGGAGGTTTGGCAGGGAAGATCAAACTTTATGGCGACAGGTCATCACTGAAAAATATGGACTAGAGGGACAATGGATACCTAGAACAGTGACAACAACATATGGGGTTAGTGTCTGGAGGTCCATTAGGGCTTATTGGCCTCTTTTTGCTGAGAATGTTTCTATTGTAGTAGGGAATGGGAGGAAAACATCCTTTTGGAATGATAATTGGCTAGGACATGGACCTTTGAAAGACCTTTTCAGTGACATGAAAGTTTTGAGTTTGAATAATGAAGCTACGGTGGAAGACAGTTGGGACCAACATGGATGGACTTTTAACTTTAGAAGAGAACTAAATGACTGGGAATTGCCTAGATTCACTGAATTTTTGAATGTACTTGATCAGTTCAAGGGGACTACAGTGGAGGAGGATAGGGTTAAATGGACAAGGCATAGTAGTGGCTCTTTTGCAGTGAACTCAGCATACAAACTTCTCAACCATCAAGGCCAGCAAACTCAGTTATGGAGCTGAAAAACAATATGGCAAGCCAAAATACCAACTAAAGTAGCCTGCTTTGTATGGTTAGCAGCCAGGGATGCTTGTCTAACACAAGACAATCTAATGAGAAGAGGCATGCCATTGTGTTCAAGGTGTTATTTGTGTGGAAATGAGGCTTAAAGTAGTAGCCATTTATTTTTACACTGTCAGTTTGCTAGAGCTTTATGGCACCTATTTTTGAGTATGAAAGGACTGTCATGGGCCATGCCCAGGAGTACAGGGGAGCTACTTGCTTGCTGGAATTTCTCTGGAGACCTGATCAAACAAAAAAAGTGGTGGAAGACCATCCCGGGATGTATATGGTGGACCATTTGGATGGAAAGAAACAGTAGATGTTTTGAAGGACACAACAATTCCTTACAGAAGATCAAGATGAACTGCTTATTTTTGTTTCACTTTTGGTGTAAGGAAGATTTTGTACAGGATGTAGATTCAATGATAGATATCATAGGATCACTGTAGTAGGAGATAGAAGATAGCCGTGGTTTTTGCTCTTTTTGATATATGTATATATGGCCTTAGCACAGCCTTTGTGCTACGATTAAATAATATGTTACCATTCTCAAAAAAAAAAAAGCAATAAGTAAACCATTAATGGAAAACAATGGCACACCAAGAGCAGAGAAGCAACTATATAGAGGAAGAGTACAAAGAGGCTGTCAACAACAATGGATAGTATAAAAAGCTGCTAGGCAAGCCTAACTGGAGCAGTGTATAAAAGTGGGTCAAACAAAGAAGTCCAAAGTATTGTGCCCCAATCAGCGATGCATTATGGGGCGTGTCTATCCCTCTGGTACTATTAGAGATCTAAATGTAAAACCAGAAATGAAAACAATGTTACACCAAGATCAGGGAAGCAGAAAATTACTATGTCGAAGAAGACTGCAAAAGAGACTGTTAACAACAATGGATAGTGTAGAAACAGCTAGTCAAACCTAACCAAAGCAGCAACAACAACAACAACAAACCCAATAGTTTCTCACAAGTGGGGTCTGGGGAGGGTAAGATGTACGCAGCCTTACCCCTACCCCCGGAAGGGCAGAGAGGCTGTTTCCGAAAACCTAACAAAAGCAGTGTACACAAAATAGGCCAAACAAAGAAGTTCAAAGTATTCTATCCCAAGCAATCAGCACACAGTACATTGTTGGTTTATCCCTCCACTACCACGATAGATCTCATTGAAAAATCCATAATCCAAATTGTCACAGTGTGAACCCTGTCCATCTAGTCAGGCAGAATTCAGGTCACACACTAAAGAGATAAAATATTCAATTTTAGTATCTAATTATAAAATATTCAATTTTAGTATCTAATTGTATAGGGTACCTTTTTCACATTTTCCAAAGCCATGCACGTGCAATACACATACGCGTGATGGAAGAGTAGATTACACTGACTGGAAAGAGATAGAAGCTAAGGACATAAATTTTGTAGTGAACTTGCAGATTTTCAAAGTTTTGAATTTGAGTTCTGTTTCATGGCTAAAACTTGAAATTTGTACTGAATTTCTCATCGTTTTTAGGTTGATGGACACCCCATTTATAGCATGGCAACGCCTACAATTGCAGGTGCAAAGGAGATGTTAACTTACCTTGGTGCAGAGCAGACCTCAAAAGAAAGTGTTGCTAAGAGAGTAGTTTTAACTGATCTGAGGGAAGAGGCTGTCGTTTATATTAATGGAACACCTTTTGTTCTTAGGGAATTAGACAAGCCTGTTGAATCCTTGAAGCATGTTGGAATCACTGGTTCATTGGTCAGTCTTCAATCAATTTACCCCTTCAAATAATTGGTTATGATAATTCTATTATCTTTTAACCACTTGTCTGCCACAGGTGGAACACTTGGAGGCACGGTTAAAAGATGACATACTATCTGAGATTAGACAATCTGGTGGTAGGATGCTTTTGCATCGTGAAGAGTATAGTCCGTCTTTAAATCAAGTTAGTATCATTGGATATTGGGAGAACATATTTGTGGATGATGTTAAGACTCCTGCAGAGGTATATGCAAGTCTGAAGTATGAAGGGTATGATATAATCTATAGGAGGATACCATTGACTAGAGAGAGAGAAGCCTTGTCTACGGATATTGATGCTATCCAATACTGTAAGGACGGGTAAGTAGCAGCACTTAATCTGCAGAATGTTTATATGTCATCAACTTCTGAGACAGGTCATTCAAATTGACAGTTAACAGTTTTTGTTTGGGCAAAGTTGGTATAATGGGATTGAGATGTAGTCATTGATTAAAATATGAAAGCTGGTGTAGCTTCTTGTCCTGCTACAGCCATCTCCATGACATTGACAGACTGCCCTAGATGTAGAAGTAAAATCATGTCTATCAAATGGCTCGTTGTAGCAACTCTAATATATCACGGAGAATTTCCAAATGCAAATGAGATATAAAAATATACCTTGCCAAACTTCTTTTTCAATCATGAGTTTAGGAATCTTGACTGAACATTAACTTGTCATTGCCAATTTATACTAGTTAGTTCGCAAAATCTATCATTTCTGTAGTTGTCTGGCTCAGTTTGGTGTTTGAGAAGCCTTTAATCTTCATTCTTTGATAAGATAAATGTCACAGTGTGCTTCTTCTTTTGTTGTAATCTCTCCGAATCCAGAGAAAAAGTATATTCTATGTCAGCTATGATGTGACTTTGATTGTCAAAGGGCATAATATGGTGTTTCTAGTAATGATCTTTTACCTGTGTCCGTGAAGAATTTATTTGAAAGTTTGTTAACCAGTGACTTCCTTTTCCATGTTCTCATTAGAAGGAAAATTAAACTAACTGTTTTTTTTCTTCCTTTTGCCTGCCTCTAAACAGCGCTGCAGGATCTTACCTTTTTGTATCACACACAGGATTTGGAGGGATTGCTTATGCAATGGCTATTATTTGTTTAAGGCTTGAAGCTGAGGCTAAGCTGTCATTAGATATTCATCGACCATTTGAAGGCACTGTGCTTCCATGTCCACCTCTAGAGAATTTCAATGTTCAAAATTCGAACGAAGAAGCACGCAAAATGGGTGACTATAGGGACATATTAAGCCTCACTAGGGTTCTTGTGCACGGTCCTGAGAGCAAGACAGATGTTGATATTGTAATAGAAAGGTATGCATTCTCTATTTAATCCATAAATGCATGAGTTTTTTTCTCCAGCTTCCGTGGCAGTCCAGCTTCCTCAAGTACTGCACAGGAGATTGGTTAAGGACATAAATTTCATAAACCTACACATACCATAAAATCAAGGAATATATGGATTCAAAGAGGGATTCTCTATGTAACAGTAAAAGGAACTAGTGATTGAACGTTTCTGATTTTATTTGGTGAAGTCAGTTAGTCAATCAACTATATCCTTTCATGTCTTATTAACTTAGATCTGTATATATTAGGGCAATTGGGTAAAACTAATACTTTAAGAATAACCTATTCAGGTCTCTGCTATCGCGTCGTTCCTCCCTACACTTATGCCCCTGTACCATCACTTAATCATGTCCACCATCTATTTGCCCCTTCAGTTTTTTAACTCCATCTTTGTTCGATGGTAATTTAAGAGTCTTGTACAAAGCGAATGAGTTTTGTGGCAGTAGATGTGTCTTGAGGGTTTGGTATAGTTGGTGCTTAGTCTATCAGTTTCTGGTGAAAGAAAATATAATCTAATGATTCATAAAGCTTCTAAGAGCAAATGCAGGTTGAAGGATGTTAAGGAAATGGAAAAGGGTTGTAAACTCATCTATGTTTGAATTCTTATCCTTCTCTATAGATACCGGAATAGAGAGAGCAGATAAAGTATTGTCCATGAGAGCACTGTTCAAAATTTATTGCAGTAGTGCACTGTTTAATATTGTGAGAAATAAGATAAACGGGTTCGCACTTATGGGTCTGGATTCCTCAGCACCAAGAAAAGTTCTTCTTTACTTGGATGGCAGCGAGGGGAGCAATTGTTCGAAGTGTAGATGTCGACCACCTCCTCCTACATAGTCTGGTGGCAACTTAGGTTGTGGCGTGAGATTTGAGATGGCTTGGGCTGCAAAGGGCATTGTTGGACACAGTGAAGGAGGCACTCTGCGGCGGGAAATTTAGAAAAGAAATCCAAGAGCCTGGGATGTTGCTCCACATGTTGGTGTTGTGGAAGGAAAGAGATAGGAGAGTTTTTGATGGGATTTTTTTCGGATGCATAGAGAATGATTATGTACATTTGAGGAATAGTTTCTCATTTCTAGTTTCTTCTTGGTGCATCCATGAGGTACCAGTTTGTATAGAAGATGGGGTGTCTTTCGTGGAGAATCATCTTATGTTGTAAACTCTCTACTTTTTGATGTACTGCTTGTATACAAGAGATTTTCTCATTATTAATAGAATTATTTACCTTGTCACCAAAAAAGAAAAAGGAAGAGAGAGGATGGTTTTCTGTACAGCATGAAGCGGGAAGGTCATTGCTGGCCAGCTTTCTAAGTTTAAAATTGATAGAAAAAACTGAATTTTGCACTAATGTGGATACTCACGTCATAATTCTACTTTGATATGGTTTAAGTGTAGGAGTTGATCTAGCTAGTTTTAAATCAAGTGAATAGCTAGCTACTGTTCTACCTCTGAGTATTGTATCTGACAGTCTGAGTTCTTTCAATTTTTCCAAAGGTGTGCAGGTGCAGGTCATTTGCGAGAAGATATAGTTGAATATTCAAAGGAGCTTGAAAAGAATTTAGATGAAGATGAAGAACGTCGAGCATACCTCATGGATATGGGCATTAGAGCTCTAAGGTTGGTTCTCATCCATCTCTTTTATAAATGAAGAGTTTGTTGATAAACATGAAAGGTAGAAGCAGAGGACAGAATATGCTCATTTAAAGGAACATACATACTGCCCCAGCACCATCTTAGAGGTCCTCTTTTGAATGCTTTATTATTAAGATAGAGCTGAAACTTCTATTTTGCAGCGGAAATGAGCAAAAAATATTGAAGATTTGAAAAAAAATGGTGAATTTTTCCCCCAAAAGATAGTGGATAGAGCAAGGGATAAACTAAAGTAGAAAACAGAAGACATAATCGGGACTGGATAGCATAAAATAACTGAATATAATTTGTCCTGAGAATTGAACTTGCACCTTGGCCCATATTTCATTCATAGGCTATATATTTCTTCTACAGTTAACCTCTTCCTTGGAATGGAAAGGTGATATTGAGAAATTGAGTTACTCCTTAGTCCGATTTCAGTAGGTGGGATACGCATCCTTTTTCCTGGAGCGATGACCAGTAGACATATATCTTTTTGCTGCAAAGTAGGCAAAAATTTAAAACGATTTTAAATAATGGTTTATTTCTTTTCTGTTTGCAGGAGATATTTTTTCCTGATAACATTTAGATCCTATCTCTACTGCTGTTCTCCAGCTGAGATAAGATTTAGTGAATGGATGGATGCGAGACCTGAACTTGGCCACCTATGTAATAACCTCAGAATTGACATATAATGAGGATAGTGTCAAGACATATCCAACATTAGACTCTAAAGCTCTCTCTGCATATCTATAAACACGGGGGACACTGAATAAAGTTGATCAGATTGAGAAATTGCTGATACTAGACTCATGACTTGTGGAGGAAGACAAGTTATTGTCATTCTTTGAAGGGAGCTGATAGCTATTAGCATTTAATTAGTTCAGATTGTAGACACCTGTGCTGCAGCCAAGCAAGAGGAAGCAAACTGCGAGACTGGCAGACAGAAGTTACAATGAATCAGAAGAACTATTCCCATGTATAACATGAGGAACCAAAAGTTCGTAGGTTAAGGGGGGTCCAAAGTTGCAAGTTAAGGAATATTTCAGTGCTCTATGGTCAACACATTACACTCCGTAAAGCTGCTTCCGAACCAATGTGCGTGTATAACTAGCTTTCACTGTAGAAATGCAGAGAAATATCAAATGGTATTCGAGTTGCAGATGTATGATATGTTTGCTGTTAATAACTACTGACATGTATAGAAGTTGCTTCATATGGACATGGATTTATTTGCCTTGGCATTCATTTCATAGACGTAACTTTGCCTCATGACCAAAGAAAGGAAAAGATGGCATGAAAATAACTGAAGGAAAAAGATGAAGCAAATTAAAGGCTTGCTGTTGGTTGTATACTTGTTATGACTTGCAAATCAACTGCTCATCAGTCTCCAAAGTTGGAATCTGCTACAGAAATCTTTTGTATGAGTCTGCTCTCTGCTCTATTGTTATGACTTATGTGCTAATAAAAGGCAAAAACCTAATGTGCAGAGGGATAAAATAGAACGATGTATATTAAGACTGCGGTCATCTCATTCAGCTCTAGTCCATGCTATTCATGATAATTTTTTTTAATTAAACAAAAAAGTATAAAACATTTGTTGATTTCTCAATAAATAAATTCATGCTCTCATAATGCGGAGGGATAAAACTTTTGAAATAAAGACAAACAAATATATCTTCTAGGTTAATTGCGAAAGTAATTACTGTTTGACCAAGTTTTTAAAAACTGCTTCTAAGTGTATTTTTTTCAAAAATGCTTTCTCAGAAAAGTGCTTTTGGAGAGAATCACTTTTTTCGGCTTTTCAAAAACTGCTTTTGCTTCCCTCAAAAGCACTTTTTTCCTTCCAAAAGCTTGGCCAAACACTTCAATTTTTGGCCAAAAGTATTTTTGGTTCAAAAAAGCACTTTGGCCCATAAAAAAATTTGGCCAAACAGGATATAAGTCTCTCACAATAATTTACAGTGACATAAATTACCATTGTAGTATGTTGTGGAGATATGTGACGAGATTGTTATAACCAGTAGTGGGACAACTATTTTCTTTTTCTTAAAATTAATTAACACTAAGTGATGCCTAATGGGACACCCAATGAAATCTCAAAAATTGCATATTATGACGCTGCAGTTTGTTAAAAGCGTTTTAAAGCTGGTCGTAAGGGATTTTTATACTAAATCAAATAATTTAATCTGAACAGTTAAACATCAACGTGAGAATACACATATTACTTAATTATAACTAAGTGACAAAATATGCATATGAATGACATATATCTTATATTTATTAGTTTAATATATAATTAGTTTTAAAACTCAAATATATCTTATATTTATTAAATATATCTTATAATCAAATATATCTTATATTTATTAGTTTTTATTACAGAAAAATTGTTGCAGTTGATGAATATATTGGTCAAAAGGGCACCATTTTGAGACACGTTGGCCTTTTCTTTTTTGGTTGTCATGTGACACCTAAAATTCTTGCTTCATTTTGCCAAGCAAAATAGAGTATTCACAAAATGAAGATGAAAAAGATAGAATAGAATGTTGCCAGCCGGCCCAATCCAAACAAAATGCAAGTCCAGTTGTGGTGGCAGAGTCATACCTCTTCTTCACTGCCCCTATCTTCAATTTTGTACCGTGAGGAAGCCATTGCAGCTGGTGCTACGTGGCACATCCACAACAACAATGCATTATCCGCCGCCGCCCTCAGCCTCAGGTTTAGCCGAAACCCTAACCTAACCTCTCGAAGATTTCGTCTCGTTACTTTCACGTCAAACGCTACCTTTGACGATGGCGACACTCGGAATGATAATGTCAATGATACGGGAGACCGAGGCGACGACGATGACGATGATGATGACGGCGTTGAGATTGAGATTGAAATAATTGGGAAACGTCGTCGGCGAATTCGATCCAAGATAGCCGTGAACGCCAGCTTGCAGAACGTGTGGGAAGTCCTCACTGATTATGAAAGGTTAGCTGATTTCATCCCCGGTCTTGCCGTCAGCCAGTTGCTTCAGAAGGAGCCTAATTTCGCCCGGCTTCTTCAGGTCATTGCCTTTTAATTCTTGCCAACTTCTTATTTTTTAATTTATTGTTATAGAAACTACTCCTTATTAGAGATGTACTAGTTTCTAGAATTATTCAAACTATTGACTTATAAGAAAAATAACAACAGCTGCTGCTGCTACCATTAGTATTGAGCTTGCAAATGACCATACATTAAGTCTGTTTTAGACAAGAGTTTTAGTTCTATGTACTACTTGTAAAAAATAATTTACACAATCAGGTCACTTAAAAAGTAACCTCCTACAGGCTAGAATAAATGTTAAGTAACCTGCTACAGTAAAATTACGCTAATGATATAAAAAAATTCATTACACAATCAGTGTATACGACTTAAATCCTTTAGGCAATTGTATATGTTGCTTTGCAATCCTTATTGCCTGATGAAAATCTCATCAACTTGACCTTTTACCACCAATATGTAATATGTCAAATAGTACACGAGTGCTCTTTTCTTGTCAAGTTCAAAACATGAAAAACTCCGAAAGAACTTAACATCTCATCACTATCATCGGGCTAAGTTCTGAATCACACTGTTCGATTCCTAGTCAGTCACACACACACTCGCGCACACAAATATGAAACTCATTATTCAAACAGAGGGAAAGAAAGCTCCTTACATTCAATTGAATGTGAATCAAATGTTTCTTCTTTTGAAAATAGCAACATGCTGCTCTTTATGGGAATTTCTTGACTTTGAACATTTTAAGAATGGTCTATCTGATATTTTGAATCTATAAATTTACAGTCAAAAGACGACACGCCTATATTTTCTCTTGTCTGTGAATTTCTCTGGCATATACTAATGTCATTAGTATGATATTAATGAAATTGTATCATATTGGACAGATTGGGGAACAAGACTTAGCATTTGGGCTCAAATTTAATGCTAAAGGTATCGTTGATTGTTATGAGAAAGATCTTGAAGATCTCCCCATTGGTCAGAGGCGTGATATTGAGTTTAAGATGGTGGAAGGTGACTTCAAACTTTTTGAAGGGAAATGGTCTATCGAACAGATGGTGGATTCTTCCTTCCCTTTTTCTATTCCTTCCTCTGCCATTCAGTTGTTATTAGGAACTCAGTGGAAAACGTACAATGTGAGGTTATAAAAATTGAAACAACCGAAGATACCATCTTTTCTTTTTCGCGAATGTCTTGAGGTATGCATGATAAATTAATGATAAAAGTCATACTGATAATTGTACTAAGTACTAACCACTACAAAGATCAGAAAAAGTTAAGCTTGAAAAATCAACTCCCTGAATCCATGAGTTAAAGTTCGTTTGCAATAATTCTACAACTATGAGCTGATTCTCTTTTTGAAGTGGACTCATGAGTTCACGTTGCATCTTACAATTTGTTATGTATTCAGTTTTCTCGAGAACCCTTATATTTCTTTGTATTGCGGAAACATGCAGTGCAACCCAGGTAGTGTTAAAGAGCATGATTCTTCTGCGGGCCAACCATTTCATACAACTCTCTTCTACATTGTTGATGTTGAACCTAAGCTTTGGTTGCCTGTGCGGGTTATTGAAGGCAGACTCTGTAAGGAGATAAAAACCAACCTGCGGTCTGTTAGGGAAGAAGCACAAAAAGTATATCTTACTTCATTATCATCTTATTAACTGTCAACTAATTACTACCATTTATTGCTGAAGCAATGTATATATTACCTCTACATAATACAATTTTTACCAAATCAACATCTGTTTTGGTGCACTTATTTTGATGATGTGGATTAACTCCTATAGGTTCATATATAGTAGTTCAATTTTTTTGGTCAATATGAGTATAAGATCTAAAAATAAAGACTTTGTTGCCAGGAAAATTTCTCAGTCTGGCCTGTTTACATTTCTCCCTTTCCCTCGTCATTTTGCCTGGTCTCCTAGATAGTCATAGGTTCTTAGGATTTTCCATCCTACTGATTGCATTCTAATGTATCTAGTGAGCGAGCAATTTCTGCTGTACAGTGGTGTCCGTACTACCTTAAAAATTCACATCTCTTTTTGGTATGTGCAAAACTGTGATCTTGCCTTGATTTCCATTATTCACCTTAGATTTTTCGCTGAAAGTAATCTCTCAAATACTAGTACCATATCACGTATCATTTTCTTTTTGCTCCACATCCCGTGGGAAGTGTACTCTCGTGTGCGCGCGCGCGTGCGATTATTAAGATTGTTTTTCCATTCTATCCAGGATGAGATCTTTTAGTATGTAGTGGTACCATGGAGAAATCGAAAGTTTAAAGAAGATAGCAACTGCCTAAAAAGGGACAGAAATGTGGGAAAAATATCTTTTAGTATGTAGTGGTACCATGGAGAAATCGAAAGTTTAAAGAAGATAGCAACTGCCTAAAAAGGGACAGAAATGTGGGAAAAATATCTTTTAGTATGTAGTGGTACCATGGAGAAATCGAAAGTTTAAAGAAGATAGCAACTGCCTAAAAAGGGACAGAAATGTGGTAAATTTTTCCCGACTTCCACATGATTGAAACTATTGAAAGAACATGTTGCATTGAGACTCGACCTTTGCAAGGATTAGATGAGCCAATGTATGATTCAATACATGTTGTTAGGGAATATTCATAGCTCAATTGGGCTACATTAGCTTTCCCCTCGCAGGGAGGGTTCGATTCTCCACCTTGTAATCCCTCCNGGAGTTATTTCTTTAATTCCAAAGTTTGCTCATTCATTAGTTGCATTTAGAACATTCTCCTTGTGAATCTCAATCTGGAAGGGATGGGCATCGTAATCGCCGAAAATGTCAAAGGTGCAATTTCTCACTGGAATAGTCCACACATTCGCAAGATAATTTCTAAATTTCTTGTAGTCAGTGTTTACATCAAACCAACATATGCAAGGCGTGTGTTTGATATATACATTTATCATATAAACATGGTTAAGTGATATATTTCGCATAATTTTTAATTGCTATGGTTTAATTTTTTAGTTTGGTATAAATAACTAGTGTATTTAACTATTTATTATAGAATAGTGCCCTACGCCGCACCGCTCTACCACTATTTGCTGACTTTAGTAACGCAAGGGAATATGAGCATTTAATTTATTCCATGTGCTCGGGACTGCCGTTATATATTCACCCTCGCCGACAATAAGGAATATGTACTTGTGATCTGCAAAATGATATATCCATCAATTATTCTTCAGCACGCATTCGGTCAAATTAAAGTATATACTTATCTAATGCGAAAGTACAGCGTTAGGACCAACGGAGATATACCCTCTTACTTGCTCAGGGGTGGTCATGTTGTTGGCTCAAGAACATGTGAAGTTTTAAAGATTGACAAAAGAACTTAGACAAGGACCACGTCTATCTTGTAAAGCATAGTCATGATCAACCTTTGCATATGAGATGCACGTGAAGGAGATAAATCTAACTGATCGAGAAGTAATATCTCCTGATCTGATCAAAAAGGTTGCATATTGGATAAGGAGAGAAAGACTCCTTACATGAAGAACACAGTATAGGAAGAAGATAGTGTTAGAGTTTGAGATCACCTTGAACTCTTTTACGATAGAAGAGTAGCATTTGAATCTCAGTCAATCTTTAATTACTAACCTATTAAATGTCAGTGTTGTTCTCTTTTACATGGAATGCACATAAACAGAAGTTAAACTTAAATTGAGAGCAAAAGAGCAAGGCGATTTTGCAAGCA